GACTCCTGTCCACGACACAGTAAGGGTGGGAGTTATTGGCAAATTATAGGGAGTCATTTTCTAACCCCGTATTTAGTAAGGCATGAGATTTTAAAGATACATGAGTAAATAATGCACAAAGTGCCATGTCCAAATCAGGACAGAGTATGTTTCAATGCTCAGCAGCTGGCCTAATTTTTTTTCACAATTGATATTCCCACAGATGTTTCCAACACTTCCTAAATTTCCCTGGCCTGACTATAGTCTTAAAATGTCTCCTTTGAGGCCCATTTACTTTTGGCTATGGCCAGCCAACCTGAATTGTTGGAATACTTGTGACAAAAACTATTCACTCCTGGAGATTAAGAGGAGATGAGAAGATAGTAGGTGGAGTTGTAGAAGTTGGATAATTTGAATAGCTAAATAGTCATTTCTGCGGGTCAGTTCCTGAAATGTAATAGAATAAAATGAAAGATTAACACCTCACTTCAGAGTTAAGTCTTTAAGAAAGCATACGTTTCATTTTGAGATAGTTCTCCTGAATCATGTTGAGGTGTATGATAGTCTGCTACCATGATGTATCACCACAGTATGGCAAAGCTGTTGTTTTGACCCATATCCACTACCACCCAACTACCCTGGCAGCCACAAGTGTCTATAGCCTAGTTGGTAAAGGCAGCACTCTAGTATGTGTCTTAGCATTTCTGAGGCTGTGAGTTTGAACCTCACCAGGCACATCTTCATTTTGTCTGTCTCTAAAAACCAAAACAAGTGTGTCTTGAACTTCAAGGGCACCACAATTTCAACTGGATTTCTTTCATTTTTCTGAAACTTTGTGGAGTTTCCAAACCAACCAGGAGACTAATTGACTTTCAAATTTTTCCAAAGTCAAGTTGCATGGGTGTTGATGTTGGGATTGGTGAGATTTTCTTCTTCTTGATCTTGTGGTATTTCTTCATCTTCCTCTGGGTCTGGTTTGTTGGAATAGTATTCTTTGTCTTAGCCCTCAAAAGAGGAGATTGTCAGGTTAGTTTATCTTTATTGATAAACTTCCTGAAAGCTAAAATATCATTGTGTTAATCATTAAACTTCTTGATCATGTGTAGAGCTGAGCTGTTGTATAAGAGAACAAGATTGAGCCAATAATTTAGCTTGTGATTCAAATTCAAGAGATGGTGTCACTAACCTGATAAGCTCAAACACAAATGATGATTGTGAGCAATCATCAAGCTCTAGGTGAGTCTTGATTGATTTGATCACAAGAGCGAGAGAATTAGAAAAGATCAAAGGATTCTGATTCCCCTTTACCTCGCAAAACATCATCCTTACCTTGTGTAGATTATTCTCATTGAAGTTATCATCAACCAAACTCATTGACCGTATCTTTCCGCCTTTAAGCGGTAAGTAAGAAGTTAATACTTCTTATGCCTTTTTATTCAAAAAGAAAAAGAGATAATTGAATTATTAAATAATTGTTCTTGTCAATGATCATGCATTAGATTCATTGAACAATTTTCACTACTCAAGTCTTAAGTGCAACAAGAATTCAAATCTTTTATTCAGAAAGTAAAGTACCTTCTACTGACTTTGGTACAAGAATAACGCATGATAACTAACAATTTGATAAATGTACTTAGTTATATTTATTCTCTTTATAATTAAGAATAACTCAGCAAATTTATCTTTTATTGTTATCTAAGCGTTGTTAGTAGAAATAGCAGATTCATTCTGCCTTCAGGTATTTCTACTATTCTCTTTACTTTTATCTAAATCTATCAATTGTAATTTGTTAAAAGAACAAATACTTATAAATAAATAAAAACTTCAGTTCCAAATTCTTTCATGGTTCCTCTTCAGTGTTGGTTTCTTCTTCAGTTTCACCACAACCATAAACACAACTTTTTCTCTTCTTGTTATTGTTACCATTGTTGTCTTCTTAAACACAAGATTTCATCCTTGATGGGCAATTTCTCTTGGTGGTGAAGCTATGCTGTGTTAAATTCTGGGACTTTTCAGACTGTTTATTTGCTTGAATACTACTGTTTCTGGATGTTGATTGGTTGAGGGTATTTTCAAGGTGTTTTGTATGGGTGAGGGGTTGATTTTTAGGATGGTGATGAAAATTTTGAGACAGGTGTTTGAGATTGGTGATAGGTTGATTCAGGTGTTTGGGAACAGTGATGGTATGAGAAAGATGATAAGTTGATTCCAGTGTTTCAGATGGGTGATGGTTGGTGCTTAAAATTGGTGACAAGTGGAGTTGATGAGTCCGGTGTTTGAGATTGGTGATGAGTTGAGTTAGGTCTTTGAGAATGGTGATGGCTTGAGATAGGTGATGAGTTGATTCTGGTGGTTGAGATTGGTGATGAGTTGAGTCTGGTGTTTGAGATTGGTGATTGAGTCCAGTATTTGAGAATGGGGATGAGTTGAGTCTGGTGTTTAGAATTGGGGTGGTTGAGACAGGTGATGATACAAATGAGTTGGTGAGATGATTGAGGAGATGAGTGAAGTGTTGGAGATTGATGAGATGGCTAAGGGGTTGGTTTCAATGTGTGATGGGATAGGACCAATCTCACCTACTGATATCACTCATCTGACCCATCTCACCATGTTATACCAAAAAAATGAAGAAAACTCCCCCAAAGGGAAAAATATATTTCAATGATGTGGTACAACTATTTATAGTTCTGTAAATCCATACTTGGGTTGATGAGCTATAAGAGCATAATAGACTATCTAATAACATAGTATGGGAAAAAACAATGACATGAGAGAAAATGACTATGGATATATATATAAGTGCATACTGTAGAACAACACTCCCCCCCTCATCAACCACAAAAAGGAAAAAAGAAAATAAATAGTAATAAAAAAATAGAAATTGATGAATCCAATGAAAAGGAAACCAGAAGCAGCAAAATAAGACAGAAAATAAAAAGTTGAAAAGTTGAGAATCAGAAGAAAAAAAAGACAGGAACAAAAACAAGTGGAACAGAAACATAAAAATAGATTGAGGAAAATACCAATGGAAATTGAGAATGAAAATTAAGAAAAATACAAGTAACCAATGAAAATCCATTGACTGCAAAACATAAAGCATGAATGGTTAGCTTCCAAAGAACCAATCAACCTTCTTTATCCGGCAGAAGTTGTGGAGGGAGACAAACAGATGTGGGGGGTGCATGTTCATTGCAGCCAGCGCATACTTTCCCCCCTTTACTTGCCAAAGTGATGGACTGTCCTCTCAGTCCTAGAATTGCAAGAAATTCCGAAACCTTCTTCCACCCAAGGGCCTTGGTAAGAATATTGGCGAGTTGATGATTGGTTGAAATCCATTCAAGCCAAATCTTCTTGAGATATAGGAGTTCATTGATGATATGAAATTCCTGTTCCACATGTCAATGTTCTTTCCGAGTGCCACAATCAGAACTGATATGAATTGCCGCCTTTTTATCTGACAGAAGAAGCAGTGTAGGAAATCAAGGAAAAAGTGAAGATAAAATCAAAAACAAACACATAGCGTCCTTGGACGCAATAGATAAAGCCATGTACTCTGCCTGGCAGGTCAATTGTGACACACATGTTTGCCGCTTTCAAGACCATGAGATTGGAGCACCCCAGGCGGTGGAGATGAATCCATGAACTGACGGTGAAACCTTGAAAAATTCAAATTAGCCGATCCAATGCAATGCTGGTTGTTTGATGGATCATTGGTGTCGTCTGGAAAGGTTACAGAATATATAAAAGGGAAAATTTTGATTCCCACGGTTAACGGCTCTGTATTTTTCTCTCATGTTGCTCTCCACATCACTCGCATTTGTTCAGCAGATGTGATTCCAGGCAGTTTGTGGCTGAAGGATACGAACACCTATGTTGGTGGAACTAAAAACAATGTAGTTATTAAATCCTGTTCACATGATATTTTCTTCTGTACAATGTCCTGATTTCTCTTTTTTATTTGATGAATACAAAGAGGTTTTTGTAACTGAATCTTTATCCGATTTGCCCCCCCAATCAGGAAGGTTTTGATTGTGAGGTAAATTTGAAAGCAGGAGTGGTTCCACCCTTTGGTAAGATGTATAATTTGAGTAAAGGAGAGAGAGATCATTTGAAGATGTATATTGACGAGAATGTTCATAAGGGTTTTATTTGGGTGTCATCTTCCCCTGTGGCAGCATCAATTTTTCATGTTAAGGTAGCTGGTAAAGCAGATTGCCCATGTGTTGATTATAGGATATTGAATGGTATGACAATACAAGATTCTTATCTACTACCATTGGTTTCTCAATTACTTATAAACAATTTACAGGGTCCTAAATATTTGTCAAAGATTGACTTAAAAGCTGCTTTTAATTTGTTAAGGGTTGCTACAGGTCACAAATGGAAGACGGCTTTTCATGGACCATGGGGTTTGTATGAATATCAGGTTATGCCTTTTGGTCTGTGCAATGCTCCAGCTATGTTTCAACGTTTTATTCAACATGTTTTGAGAGAATATTTGGATGTATGTTGCTTTGTTTGCATTGATGAAATTTTAATTTTTCTCTAGAACAGAGGATGAACACATTGCTGATTTGCGGAAGATACTCAATAAGTTACGAGAATTTTCTCTAAAAGCTTCCTTGAACAAATGTGAATTCTTTTGTTCCAAAGTTACATTTTTAGGCTTCAACATTACAAAGGACGGATTGAAGATGAGTGATAAGAAGTTGTATACAATTAATGATTGGCCACTTCCTTCTTCTATCAAAGAACTTCAACGTTTTTTGGGATTTACTAATTTTTATAGGCGGTGTGGTAAATAATACCGTGTTTTTACACAGAAAATATAAAAAATTTCTTATTATCTCTTTATAAACTAAATATATCATAAAAACAACAACAGAAATGGATCCCTGAGGTAACATTACCCCTAGTCACTCACTACAACTGACCCCATATCTCTCATAGTTTAGAAGTTACGCAGATTTCAACCTGTCACGGGAGGTCTTTGGGATTCTTTACTCTCAGTGTGGCTTGTTTTGAATACTGGATGCATATTGAATATTGAATTCCTCTGGGCTGTATTGAATTCCTTTATTGCCACATAGTGCATATTGAATTCCTTTGTAGGTGCACATGCATTCCTTTGTAGTAGGACCTTGTAGGCTAGCCTAAATCCCTCAAGACAGTGCTCTCACCAGCCAAATTCCCTCACCTGCATGTATTAGACCAGCTAAATGCCCCCATTGGATCTTCAGGCCAGCTAAAATGCCTCAAAAGCCTGTACCCTGGGGCTAAAATCCCTCACATTTGTTATATAAGGAGGCCTCTGCCTGTCAGTTGTTCCCTCCAGCATCCCACCAGAGGATCAGATCAACTCAACCCACATTACAGATTATATACAAGTGACAGCCATAACAATACATTATATTGAAATACAAACATAACACTTTCATCAACATAACAAGTGCCAAGTGTCCATAAACTGCCTCACATACCATTACTGGTTGAAGCATAGTGCTCCCAGAGCTCTGTGCCTTGGTTTTAAATCTTTGAACAACAGCTTCATCAATATAATCATCACTTGGAAGATTCATCTTGAACTATCCTCTATCACGATAAATATAACTGCCAAGCTAAGCTTGGTGGTCTTGTTGTTCTGATAGCATAGAAGGGCAGAGCTTGCAACTCCATCATCCCCTTCTCCATTCAGCAAAAGGGTTTTCATAACCACTTTTGAGTCTTACAGCGGTTT